TCAAAAATCACAATTTTTTCGATAACTCAGCCATTTCTTGACGGATCCTGCTCATCTTCGAACTCGACCGAGACATTGTTAAGACTGAACTGTGTAGAAAATTTCATCGTAATCGGACTCTCCTTTCGAAAGTTATCGTGTAAACGGCCGGCCGGACATACTGACCGATTCTAGAGTGTACTCACTTTTTGAGTACACAATAAAATTATTGATGATTAGAGATCATATTAAAAATGTTGAATATTATAAAAGAATGATCTTTCTTTTTCTTATTTTAGTTAATTCTATGCTCACTTATCAATGATTAATTTTGTAAAATTTTCATATTCAACAATAAATTCATTGATATGTAAAATAGCATTACATGATAATCGTTTGCTAATATCTTAAATGAACTAGCATGTGAATGTTCTTTCTTCTCATGACAATCTTCTCTTGTTTTGCTACTTTTTTTTGCAAAACTTAATAGTTTACATCATCTAGTCTAATCAAAAGTTAAGAACTGTGTGATACAGTTATCTTTCCTCATACTTGCCCATCGGAATATGAATGAAAATGTCCTGCCAATAAGTCTTTTACAATGTATGTATTTGATGACATGTAGAGGAATAATAATCGGAGATAACAATGTTGATTATGAGAAACGAATGGTGTTATTATTCTCTCATAAGTTTTTAGTAGTCGGATGATTTTTCAAAAAACTGTGATACCCTACTTGATGAATAGACAAAATATGATATCTGTAATTCTATTTCTAGTTGATATTAGTGTTTTATACTAAACTCTCGTGGACATTCTAATGGATGCTTATTGTGTACCTTAACAGGTATACTGAATTCTGCTAGAAGCACAGAGACATATTTGTCTGATGAACAATACTCACAGACTTGAAACAAAATTTTTTAATATTCCATTGAAACGAACATTTTTATGGTCAATTTTATCTCATAATTTTGATTTTTGAGCTCATGAGTACTAGAGTGTGGGTGTAGGTGTGGTTGTGTCTGTGACTGCGTGGATGTAGATGTGAGTGTATGGATGTGATGGGAAAATTATCATTAACCCGTATCCCATTCACACCCACATCCTGTACATCCTCGTGGCCATCCAGTATTAAAAACGTGCTCTGTGTTTTAAATAAACAATTTAGTTGTCTACCTAATACGATTCTTCAAAAAAAATACTGATCTCTTCCATATCGAATTGACAAAGATTAAAATATCTTTTTGTCTGCATGCTCGGCATTCATTAAGCTGGTGTTCCTGTGTATATACGCTATACATTTAAGCTGGTGTAACTTTGCATTGAAAAAGTGTTCCTCGTCTAATTAGAACATATATATATGCTCTAATTAGACGAGGAACACTTTTTCAATGCAAAGGAACACCAGCTTAAATGTATAGCGTATATACACAGGAACACCAGCTTAATGAATGCCAACAAAGAATATAATGTTCTCGATTATCATCTTTCTAGTCACTCAGTTATTTCAAACATTTCGTCCATAGTGATGACTATCATATCTTAATGAATGCTGAATAAATTTCAATATTGTTTGCTAGTTTGTTTGTTTGCTGTTTCTTTTTTAGAAATGTCCGAAAGAGGTCCATGTACTGATACAAATTGTGATAATGAAATAAAAGAATTATATCAATGTCATTGTTGTTTAAAACGTGTATGTTTAACTCATTTGATTGAACATGTTGGAATAAGAAAACAAAATAAACAACGATTAAATAATCTTCGTTATGAATTAAATACAGGTATAAATACACTTAATTTAATTGTTGAAGAAAAATTATTTATTATCAAACGTGAGCAAAACTTGATTGAACAAGCCAAACAACTTGTTGATACATCTAATAGTACAATTGATGAATTACAGAATAGTATCGAACAAATTAACTTAACTATACTATCAAATCGTCCGGGTAAAAAAAAACTTGAATTTGATAATCATTGGTTTATTGTTTTTTTTTATTGCAGAAGAAATTATGTTGAAAGTCGAACCTATATTATCCGAAATGAAAGATTGTTCGTGTGTTTCCGAATGTAATATGGAAACTATCAATTCAAATGGTAAATTGAAACTTTTCTCTGCGTGAATTACAAAAGACTAATCGTCATTGAGAACTAGTTCTTCAGAAATGGACACCAAAAAGATTTCATTAGAGTAGAAGATTTATAATTACTGAGTCAAATTATAACTATTTTACTGAAATTTTAATTTGCAAGTATTCGCAGACTTGAGTTATATGATTCTTAGTCATATTGTTTTCACTGTAGATTTTAGATTATTCGAGATACTGCTAAGATCCTCCTTAAAAAAGTTATTTTTTGTTGTATTGATCAAAACTGAGATAAATACAATCAAAGATAATAGTTGATCTGGTCTTTTAGAAACAGCAAATATGTTTACTCAGTGACTTCAGAATTTTTTTCATTTCATACTATGAAGAAAGTGTAACCCAAGTGTCTGTCCAGATTCGTCTCTTTTTTGTTTTAAAGAGCATGTCAAGATACAGGATATACAGAATCTGATCATGGACAGGAACGTATATTTGAAGAAATTTATGAATTCACGAACGTTTCAAGAAATGTTTTTGTTCAGTATGAAGAAAAGTCATAGGTTGTTATTCTCTGTGATGAGCTCTCTGCCATTGTACTATTAACTCTTTCTCTTCTTACTCAATTCCATGTATTCTGTTTTATTACTCCGTGTATGTGAATGATATGTACAAGAGAGATATCTAGCTTTCTATTTCTCCGATATGGGTGTGGATAGAAATAAATCCATATCCATATCCATATCCAGTTCAGTCCTTTATCGGACAGGCAGTCAGTGAATGATTACTTTAGCGATAAGAAAGAGAAACTTCAGTTATTTTGTAAAACACAACCTGAAAGGATTATTGAAGGTTAGGAGTAGAAGTTTGGTCCGAATCTTGCTCGCTTCAGAAATCGTGATAGAGATTGCAATTCTATAGAATGAAATACAAAATAATGAATGAATACAGCTGCATCGTGTTTCGCAGTTTAACTGCGTAAGAATTGCGCTAATAGTTTTTATTAAAAGCGTGAATAGTTTAAAACGTGGGGAACTTGTATTGACTGGCTCAATGATGCTAGATGGAAGATGAAAAATAAAAACAAGTAGTAAGGTTACTAAAGTCAATCGAAGATAAGTGGAATCGAGTTCTTTTTTGTACCTGATGATCACTTTTCTGCGTTTAAAAAGATATGGCGACATCATGTCTTGCATCTTTAGATGTTCTTCCAAACAAGAGAAAATATTGATTTATTGAACACACCTGAAATGTAATGATCAAGAGATGAAAATTTTATTGGAGCTTTTTCTGAGTTAAGATCAATGTTTCAAAATGGGGTAGTCTTAAAACAATTAATAGACAAAATTATAAATCTTGAGTCGAAAATACAGTATGACAAGCGTAACACGACTTCTTTCAAATTTTATTCTTAGCAAATTATTTTTTTAACTTGAGTTCAGAGAAACTTTGTCAATACATGGTTGTTTTTTAATGTTTAGATATAACAAATGAAGTTGAAATCTCTGAAAGTAAGCTAAACAACTTTAATCTGAAGAAATAAAATAAACATGATCTATTTAAGATGATAAACATTCAACTTCTATCAATCATAATGTTTTAAATAATATTTCATCCAAGTAAGTTTCTTTTTGGATTGAAAAAGATTTTAAATTGATTGCATATTTTTCTTTCTTTTTAGTGAAAATATGGAATTTGATAAGGTAAAATTAATTTATATACATTGAAGACAAAATAAAGTCATGTTTCTTTTTGTAAATTGAAATACATTAAATAATGTCGTATCGTGAATAATCATTCATTTAATATAACTGTATAAGTTCGAAATCAACATCTTCCTACAATAATAAAGATATTCAAAGTAGCTTTAATATATAAATAGAAAGTCAAGAGTAGAAAATATTCAAGTTGATAGGTCGAATTCGGATGTGATTGAACAGTTTTTGTTTTTCTGTACTAATACAGGAAAATGAGATTTTTGTGCAAATGAAAATAATTCTATTTCTCGACTAAAGTAATCGGTATCTACATTCATCTTTTCGGATAGTTATTTTTCTCATTCGCTTAAGTTTTAGTATTGACAGGAAAATATTTTGAAAAATGAGCCATTTTCTTAGAGAATATGATAAAAATGAATAGTCTTTGACTATGAAAAATCTGTTTTTGTATGAAAATAAAGTTTATACAAAAAAGTAAATAAATTTCTGAATAAATAAAATTTTAAAAGAAGAGTTTTTTGTCGAAAATACTTTGTACGCATGAATTAGAGGAATTTCTAAATGGAAATATTTTTGCTACCTAGTTAAGTTCTATATTTTAAGTTTAAAAATAATTCATTTTCAGTGAAATACTATATTAATTCAATATCCATGATTATTAGAGTTCATCCTTCATAATATTATTATGTTTTTGTGTACTCAAAAAGTGAGCACACTCTAGAATCGGTCAGTATGTCCGTCCGGCCGGCCGTATACACGATAACTTTCGAAAGGAGAGTCCGATCACGATGAAATTTTCTACACAGTTCAGTCTTAACAATGTCTCGGTCGAGTTCGAAGATGAGCAGGATCTGTCAAGAAATGGNCCTGCATACTGAAGATAATACGAGAAAACGTGAAGACAAACTTTTAATTTTGATAGATATCTTGTTATATGATCTAAATTAAAAAGCTAATTAAATATATAATACTCACGCTTCTTTGTACCTGCATCTTCAATCGAATGCGTCAAAAAACAGTAATTAATAATGTTTTATAAGGATTGAACCTTTTGAAGATCATCTAAATAAAAAAGATTTAAATATGTAAAAATGCCTTTTTTAGCTTGCATATTGAACACAATACGGAAAAAATTCTCAGACAAAAATATTCGATTTCGATTGGTTTCTTGGTACGCGATCTAAATGAAAAATATTTAAGTATATAATAGTCATAGTTTGTTGTACCTGCATATTGGACATTGTACGAATAAAGCACAGAGAAAACATTTGGCGTTTTTAGTGACTTCTTCACACACGACCTACATGAGAAGACATTTAAACAAATAATACTAATGGTTTTCGTGCCTTCATATTGAATATATTGCTGATCAAATATCTACAAATACTTTTAATTTCGATTGCCTTGTTTGATACAAGATCTAAGGTAAAAAAGTGAAATAAAAAATATCAAAATTTTTCATTCGGAAAACTCCAACTTAGACTGAAAACTTTACAGAGAAAATACTGAATTTTTATTTTGTATTTTTCAGCACCATGTAGAAGCAAGAAGATATTAAGCAAATAAGCACAGCACAGCACAGCACAGTTTACATACCTGTACATTTGACTTCATATTAAAGATATATGACGAAATAATGTTAAGTCTTTCCTCGGCTTGTTGTATATGATCTAAATAAAAAAATATTTAAATATATTGTACTCACAGTTCTTGTACATGCATGTTGGATATAATACGGGAACCATCGAGCAAAAATGTTTAATTTTGATAGGTTTCTTTCGACACGATCTAAACAAAAAATATTTAAATAAATAATACTGATAGTGTTCCTACCTGCATAAGGACCATAGTGCAGAAAAGCACTGAGGAAATTTTTTTTATTTCGTTTGATTTCTTCATACCTAATCTAAATAGAAAACGAGTTCTCCATGAAATAATGCCAACAGTTTTCCTACCTGTATATTGAGCATAATACGTAAAAAATATCGATTAGTAATGTTTCTTTTGATTGGATTGTTTTTATACGACCTAAAGAAAAAGAAATATCTACATACATACTACTCGAATCTTTTGTATCTGTATATTTAATGTAATACAGCAAAAATGCGGAGAAAAAATATTTAATTTTCATTGTTTTTCTTAGTCGTGAACGAAATAAAAGAAATTGCAATGAATAATATTAATATTTTGTGTTTGGAAAAATCGAACTTAACACCGAATAAAATTCAATAAAAGATGCTAATTTTTCATTGAATATTGTTCCGGACGCGCTAAAAGAAAGATATATAAACAAATAAAAAACACATTTTTTGTACCTGCATATTGAAGTTAATACAGAGAAAATCTCATGGAAAAATGTTTCATTGCCACCGGAATTTCTGTACACTTTCTGAAGGAAAAAAATATTTAAATAAACAACGCTCATGGTTTTGGTACCTGCATATTGAAATGGTACGGAGAAAACACCAAAAGAAAATGTTTACTTTTGATTGTGGTATTTTTACATAATCTAAACAATAAACAATATTTATATAGATAATTCACACAGCTCTGGTACTAAACCATAGTACGTATTTCAGAAAAAGCATGGAGAAACAATGTTTGGTTTACATTACACTTATTGTACTTGGTCCAAAAAAAATCGACTAAATAATAGTGACATTTTTTATGGTCGAGGAATGGAAATTAATACTAAAGTAATGTAAAGAAGAAACATTTAATTGTATTATAGTTATGGAGAGGAATGAACGAGAGAAAGCACTGTTTCTGCTTGCAGAAATATTATTTTGGAGTGGCATGAAACTTTCTCGGTCAACTTCACTGTTTCGACAATAAGTTGGTAGTATGGTTATGAGGTTTTTGGTAGGGATTTATAAGTGAATATGAGAATCGGTTTGATCAAGAGATGTGAATAGATGGTGGTACTTATCTTTGCTAATTGACGAAAATCGAAAACATATGATCGAGTTGATTCGATCCATAGAGAAAGTATATGAAAAGCTTCCATTCGATTACAACTAGATAAAGTGAAGATGTTTTTGTTTTTGCAGCTGCAATTATTTAAATTTATTTCGATGACAGTCTATAGGCTCTTGAAATTCAGATAATACAACGAAATGAATTGAATATTATAAACGATGTTGAGAATAGAGTAATTCTAAAGAAAAATGTGAATGTCGTCGATGAGTTAAAGGAAGTTGTTATAAAATGGTATCACCATTGATATAATGATTCAATAACGTATTCGTAATTGATTAATATCTGTGAATAGTTATTGATTCGAAATTGCTTTTCTCATGATTTAGAGAAAATATTTTGGACGATCAAGAGCACAGTTTGATGTTTACTGAAAGTTTAGTTTTTTATATCTGAAAAAGACATCATATATATACAATATTTCATTCATTTTGTTTGTCTTCATAACATTTGAAGTTTTCTTATAAAAAAAAGTAGTAATAAAAAGGCAAGATAATGCAAAAACAATATTAACTTTTGTTCAGTATATGGATGCACTAGTAACGACGTTTTCGTCTAATCTTCTGACGAGTAACAGCATCTAAATTTGCATCAGCTAAAGAAGTAATACCATCTTGTAAATCATCATCCCTGTCAAACGTTATTGGTTGTTTCTTTACTACTTTCTCTGAGAAATTTTAAATTAATATTGAAATAAATATCTCTTTTTACTTCTTACAGCAACAAACTTTATTAAAACAATTGCGTTGATCGTTCTGGTAAATTGACATGGGAGAACCTGCTGAGCTTATCACATAATGGTTCATAGCGATTAAAGTCTTGTTTCCTTGTGGAGGCAAATAGCAAAAGATTCCTAACGTTGCTATAGCGCGCCAATGAAAGGTATTTTTCGAAATTATAGATCTAACTTATTTTTTCTTAAAACAACTAAATTATTAATACAAACTTTTATTTCGTCAACTTAGTAAGAAGTTTCCACGCTACTGCCTTTAAACCATAAGTACAAAATTAATTGTTTTACTTTGGAATAAGAGATTTTTATGAAAAATTATATTAATGGACCCTCGAACGTAGAATAGAAAATCCTTTTCATAATAGGATAGAACAATAGACTCATAGCGGTAGAATGAAAAACCCTATTCATGAAAGGTTAGAACAATATACCTTAACCGTTGAATAAAATACGCTTTTCATGAAAGGGTACAACAATAAATCGTTGACCGTAGAATAATAAACACTTTTCATGAAAAAGTAGAACAATAAACCCTTAGTCATAGAATAAAAAAATCTTTTCACGAAAAGATAGAACAATAAACCCTTTTTCGCTAGTCATAAGCTCTTTTCATTTTTAAATACCTTTTTTCTCAGAAATCCTTTTGCACAAAAACCCTTTAAGGGTTTAGGAAGACTTTCCTAAAGTATTAGGGTTTATTATTCTACGGATTTTTTTTAGTGTTGATCGAGTCGAATCTTCCATTAGCTGTGTATTAATGCATTGTGAGACAATTACTCATTATCAACTGTTTCATCATCACTTGGTGCCTCAAGTATTCTTCTAATGATTCGATTTTCGAAGTTATGATCAGAAATATGTTTCTTATTTAAATCAATAGTGGTTCACCATAAGAAACAACTTCTTTATACGTCGGTGGAAAATTGATCATGTCTTCAAATAATTTGACGTGATATATTTCAATGTTAAGAACAGCAACATATTTTACAATTTGGTCGAATCTAATTTGATCAGTTACCGTTATTACTACATACAAAGAGATTTTTAATTTACGTGTACTTTGTCCTAAGAAACCTAACCAAAATAACTACTGTTTCAGCTACTACTGAAGACTCATCATAATATTTATTTATATATTTAATAATTCAGTTCAGTTAAGTGCCTTATCTGTTGGAGACGTTGGCTACCATGATACGCCATTTTCTCCGGTCTTGTGTTGTGTGAAGAAAATCTATTTTCTCATATACTTGTTTTTCAATCCATAGATTCATGCTTTCGAGGTACTTCATTCTTTGTCTTC